AAATTGTTAATTTTTCATAGAATTATAATCAAGGTATCGTCTTTGGAGTGGGACGTGGTATGCGTTTATCAAGCAATCATGACATTCAGAATAGCAGAGATTACAATATGATGAATGGAAGAGCTGATAGAGGCAATGGTTATAATCAAAATTATAATTTGCCTAATAATTATCCGAATGGTTCCAGCAATGTTACAGGCTATACAGATAATAATTATCGTTTGCCAGGTGGCAATTACAACAGGGCCTTGGGAACATTTGATAACAATATGAATCAATTCGACGGTTTTCATGGATATACAGGAGGATACAGAGATAAAGACATGCGAGCTCAACATTTTGATGGAAGACAAAGAATGCAAAATAATAATCAGGTTTATTAATAGCTAACGATTTAATAGATATAGTTAATTAAGAATACTATTACGAATTGGAAGGGCAGCTATGTTTTTCAATAAGAGTTTGTTAAATTGTAGATTTTTAAATTTTATCCATCGTTGAAAGAGACATGAAATTTTATATCCATACAATATATTTGCATAATTCCAATTTTTCATATTTAATTAATTGTGATAATAATTATGTAATGCAAATGGTGGAAACGAAAAATTTATTTTAATTTTAGCGTAAAGGTAGAATTAAGCGACGATAGATTTTGTATAGATATCGATAGCTACCTCGTACTCGTACAAAGTCTCTATGGATTAAAAATAAACACGTTACTTTTAATTTTGTGAGGAAATGTTATGGATACGATAAAGAACTTTTGTAAGAATTAGTGAATTCGTAGTCGCAAATTATGCCTTAAATGGCACACAGACGCGCCAATGTTTATATTTCCTTTCTTTCATATCATTTTACTTTCTTAGGTCAATGATTATTTCCTCTGTCAGCGAGGACGTGGTCGAGGTATGGGTCGTGGTTATGGTTTTTACGACGACGGACCGGGTCGTCACAATAACAACAATTTCGACAACTCCTACAGCACGGATGTTGGGAACCTTGGGAGTGGGACTGGTCGAGGTCGTGGAGTATTGAGCAACGTTCAGCCCAGCAACGAAGATAACAGATACGATGATGGTGGCGTTCGTAACGGCATTAATGACAATGACGTGGAGCGGCCCGAGTGCAATCACAATGTACGAAGAAATTTAAAGGAAAACGAGGCCAATGATAATAAAGAGGGTTTTCGACAACAGGGTAATTGCGGATTAAGCGTTTTCGATTTCACATTTATCGAGTTATTAATTTCGACTTTTATTTAATTCAATACCTTCGACTTCGCTTAAACGACCATTTCTGTAAATATTACGAAAAGCTGCAAATAAACGAAGCAATCGCCATTCTCAGGGGACTTTTTTTCACGCTTTTTCACTAAAGACCACCCTATACACGGATACCATTAATTTTACATACGAAACATTCGTCGAACAATAAGGTTCTAAGAGTTTGGCCCTACCGGTCGTCACGCCTTCCTTACTACATTACCCGATGAGCGTTAAGCGAGCCACGAGTTGACCAAACAAACGATCTTATCGTCGTGTAAATAAACCGCCAAAGCATTCATTCCCGGTTCATGGATCCGAAGCAATCGTTCTATCCATAACTATTAGTCTTTTCTTTTTCTTTTTTTTTGTTATCCATGATCAAGTCGAGGCCTTTCGTTTTCAGGTTCTAGCTATAACGAGCGCCACAATGGGAACGAAAATCAGCAAATGGAGAAACGCCGGGAGATTTACATACCGCCCGATCGCTTCGACGAGAACACGGTTTTCAAGTGTGGCATCAAGGCCGGAATAAACTTCAGGTGAGGTCGTCGGGCTTTCGTTTGCTCTCCTTAGTTTTCGTTAGCTCGAGAATTATGTCCGATCGTGTACGGCCACCGAAGGAAGCACTCCGGGCAAGTCTTGCGATTTCTCAGAATCCTCGCCGTTGGATGAAGTCCAGGAGCTAGCTTTATTATCCTTATTTTATCAATTGGTATTATGGTAATATTTCATTGGGATGTGGGGTTGAGGTGGATCAGAGGGAGGTGGTGTCGAACGGTCGATCTCTAAAATAAATACCGTTTTTTATTTCCTTCTTTTCTTGTTGTTGTTTTTTTTTTTTTCCTTCTCGATTTGCCTTGGAGAGACTAACTTAAGGGAAATTTCATCGTAACGGGATACGGTAATAATGGCGAATATAATTTTTTAGTAATTACGATGACATCAAAGTGAACACGAGCGGAGAAGACATACCCTTACCAATCCATACATTTAGAAAAGCGAATTTCAAATGTCTTTTACAAGAGAATATCGACAAGTCGAAATACAAGCAGCCGACCCCGGTGCAAAAGTACGCGTTCCCAATATTATTGGCAAATAGGAATCTCATGGCATGCGCGCAAACCGGCTCCGGTAAGACGGCAGCATTCATGATTCCCATCATTCACAAGTTACTCGATAAATCGAGGAACATGAATGGCCACGTGACGTCGGTGGTGGAGCCGAGGGCCGTAATTATCGCCCCGACCAGGGAGCTCACAACGCAGATATATAACCAGGCGAGGAAGTTTGCGAATCGTTCGACGCTCAAGTGCCAGCAGCTGTACGGCGGCACCTCCATCGAGTACCAATTGAGACAGTTGATGTACGGCTGCGATATCCTGGTGGCGACGCCCGGCAGGCTCCTCGACGTGATGCAAAGGAGAAAGATCGCCTACAATGCGATCGAGTTCCTCGTGCTGGACGAGGCCGATAAAATGCTCGATATGGGCTTCTACGAGGACGTGGAGAAGGTGATTAACGACCACTCTCGAGTCATTATCTCAAAAGTTATCTGTTCTTCGCCGTTGACTGCTATGATTTTAGATATTTCGTCACGAGACTATGGTGCCGATGAGCCAGCGCCAGACTTTAATGTTCTCGGCCACCTTCCCATCGAGGATCCAGGAGCTCGCCAGGAGATATATGCACAATTATATATTCTTGTCGGTGGGTATAATCGGGGGTGCGTGCACAGACATTGTGCAGGTCGTGTATCGCGTGTCGAAGAGGGACAAGCGAGGTAAACTGGACGAGCTCCTACATAACGAGGTCGAGCACAATTCGCTCTCGGGTATCCTCATCTTCGTCGACATGAAGAAGACGGCCGACTTTATAGCGGCCTTCCTCTCGGAGAACAACTTCCCCGCGACGAGCATACACAGCGATCGACTGCAGAGGGAGCGCGAAGAGGCCCTCGAGGACTTTAAGGTGCGTGTTACGCTGTCTCACACACACACACACACACACACACACACACGCGCGCGCGCAGAGAGTTGCACACGCAAACGTACGCGCGCTATTACAGCCATTTTGGTCCCGTTGGTATTAAAGATGGGCGGTGGGGGGGACCTTTTCTAGAGCGGGAGGATGGCAATTTTGGTGGCGACGGCGGTGGCTGCCCGTGGACTGGACATCGAGAACGTGAAGCACGTCATAAATTACGATTTGCCGAAGAGGATTGAGGAGTATGTGCACAGGATCGGCAGGACCGGTAGAGTAGGCAATCAAGGAAAGGCAACGAGCTTCTACGACGACGTTGTCGATTCGAGATTACAGGAAGATCTCGTGAAAATTTTGACTATGGCTAAGCAGGAGGTGCCAAAGTGGCTGTCGAATAACTGTGAGGAAGTTGCGACATCGTTGACCATCGCGGCTAATCGCGACATTCGAAATGTGAGTTTTGATTTGATTTTTTTTTTTCATTCATTAATTAATTACTCTTTGAAGAATAGAATTTGAATGCGAATGTGTCAGTTTAGTTGTTGAATTTGGATGACGAGGAGATGAAAGGCACGTGCGCGCGACGCCTTTTTTTTTTTTTTTTTTTTTAAATTTGCTCCACTATTAGTTTTGTAATAATTTGATATATTAGGCATACGGCGCTGTCGATTTTTCTAAATTATCCGATTGCGCATGTCGTTGCGTTGTCATTACAATCGAATAACGGATGAACGTTAAGATATTGGCGGCCTGCTTGCTTATTGGTCTGCTTATCAGGATAATAAATGGAACGTTTAAGATTTAAGAATGTGAAATAAATTTAGGCATTGGTGGTGATTATACGGGAATTAATGAACAATCGTTTTCGAATTTTCTATTACAAATGACAGTGTAGGAATAATGAATAATTGATATTTACATTTCACTGTTGATAATATATTTTCAGTTATCCAGTACAAACAAAATTAAATATGGTGATACCGCCGAATCGTTAGAAAGTGACGAAGATGCAGAATGGTAGATAGATAGTAGGAGCCCTTAAATTATGATGGGTGCCATTCGATTGTGACTCGATACGGTGCCACAAAAATAATTCGTGATAGAACTAGTGAGACCATTCACTACTTTATTGCATTTGCATTTCCCTCCCATCCCCCTCACCCCTCTCCGCCAAATAAACAAACATTTACATTATTAACTTGCAGTGGAAACCAGCATTTTATATTTAATTAGTAAGAAAATTATTTAGATTATATCAAAATGAGTTATGGTTACAATTGATTACGAAAATTATGTCAATTTTTACAGAATAAATTTTTCTACGAAAATTGTACTATGATAAGCTTTTTGTTCTTTTATTCCTTTTATTTTGATTATTATTATTATTATTATTATTTTTTTTTTTATCTTAGCCACGGATATATTGTATTATAGATTGATATTTATAAGATATATTGTACGAGCGAGATTGTTGATGAATTATCAGGTTGAAGCTCGAAGCTGCGAGTGTCAGCGCTAATAATGATGGGCAAGTGGATTTGGCGATTTGTTGGGGTTTATTAGATACTCGATGTATATGAGAAATGTGAGCAATTGAAGTACAATTTCTTGAAATCGCTAACTTTTCGATATAAAAAGAGGCGTTAAAAGGATGGAAAGTACCGCGACAATACGTGTGAAAATAACAGTGGACATAGCGCGAGCCCAATGTGTTATCGATGATCTTTTAATCACGGCGATGATGTGACTTACCGTCGCTGACGTTGAATGCGAGATCCTCGTTGTTCCAGCCGAGTTGCTCGTCGAGGAGGGCCGAGAATATCGAGTCGGTCGTCTGGTTCATGGTGTCCGTGGCCGCACTCGGATAATACATCATCTCGTTCGGCTCGGACTTGTAGCCGGTGCCATTGTCGCCGCCCATCGTCTCGTTGCTGTTGGTCAGGTTCATGGAGGTCGCCACCGCTGATCCGAGGTTCGACGGTCCGCCTGCGACAGTGAGCAGTTTAGGTCGGTTTAACGCGCCTAGTGTACCTTGTGATTTGGTGCGCGCGAGCACCACTACAGACACGACCCGAAACGATGGTCAGACTCTGGCCAGAATAAATCTGGTCAGCTTTGTTTCAGGCCTGTCGTCAGCGCATGCAAGACCTTTCTGAAGAAAGTCGGCCGTTGCTGGTGGGTGGTTGGGTGAACTGGGATAGGGGGGGGGGGCAGGTTGTTGTTACGTTCTTATACTTAGGGTATCGATGAATTCTTCTTACCGGCATTGTGGTAGGACCCAGTGGAGTTGAGGTCGCCGACGGGAGGGGCGAGGGTCGCGTTATGGAGGAGGACATTGCGCTGGGCAGCGGCGGCGGCTGCGGCTGCCGCGGCGCTGGCCTCGTAGTGTCCGTGGTGAGTCGTCCCGGCCCCCAAGCTCGTGTAGCTCGGATGATGGTGGTGATGATGATGGTGGTGATGGTGGCCCGGGTGAGCAAAGTGCTCTGTACCGCCCGGGACCGAGAAGAACGGCGCGATGTCCGGCCAGCGCTGCTCCATGCTCACCGTCCTTACGAACGGCACACGGCTCTGCGAATTATCACATATCGAGAACATTAACGAGAGGTTGGCTATCGACAACCCTTGCCGCCGGTCTCCCTGGCTGAGGTGATGGAATGGGGGAGCTCTATGGCTCGGCTCGGATGATCGCGTTGGAGAGCCGAGGCACGGCGGCACCGAGTTCTTTTAGAGATTTAAATTCTTTTATGTACATTATTATTTAACGGCGCGCGCTGAATAAGAAGATTCGAGACAATTCTCTCTTTTTCTCTCTCTCTCTCTCTCTCTCTCTCTCTCTCTCTCTCTCGCGGCTCTTACGTTCGAGGAGAAATAAAATTCTCTCGCCTGTGAAAACGAAATCATTTCGATTCGATCAATCACTTTCTATAACGGTTGATACTTTGACCTGTAAGTTATGCTGCCTCTCTTCTTACCCGTACTAATCTTTATTATTATGAGACACGGGTGGTTGTGGTGATGGGCGGGGGAGGGATACGACGAACGATTATTCATCGAAACGATGTGCACTTCACGATGTCATGGCGGGGACCGTAGCTTCATTATTATATTCGGTATATGTTTTCTTATCGTTTCTCTTTTCCATTATCTCGCTCGTTACTGTCATCTTCGTCATTGTTCGCTTCAATCTCTTCTCGTCTCCTTTTTTTCATTTTGCTTTCGTCCGGCATATCGCGCGCGATAATTTACGTGTTATTGGAATTTTTAACACGCGCGAACGGCACACGTGGCTTCCCTCCAAGTATCCCGGGCAACACAGGTGTCGCAGTTCAATAAGGATTACTTTCAAGGCGGGGGGGGGGCGCCAATAAGTGTGTCCACTTGTTTGCGATAATTCATGAACGAGTCCTACATTCTCAGTCAAATTCGAAATCTTGATTTACTCGCGAACGTTGCTTTGGCGCTATTATTCTTCGAGCATTGTTTGATTGTTTTGTGTGTGTGTGTGTGTGTGTGTGTGTGTGTGTGTGTGTGTGTGAAAACGTTAAATTCCATCGGTCGATCCGGCGAACAACTTCCAACGCTCTTTCCCCCGCGGTGACGTATCCTTACCAAAGAGATATATCAATCATTCGTGAAGTGACCGTGGCTGCACATTACGAAACATTCAGCGACAATTACATGGATAGAGCTTGTCATGTGTCGCACTGTGTGACGCGACCGACTAGCATTAAACTTCCCTTCAATACTAATTTTAATTTATTTTCGAAAGTTCCACCATCCCATAATGAAAAATGAATCGATCGAATAAAGCTGGCTACAATAATATTGAGATAGAAGCATCTACTCCTCCCTGTTGTTTTAGCTATCCTACAAGATACTTATTCATCGTTTTTCTTCTTTTCCTTTTTCCATTTTTTTTTTCTTTTTTTGTTTGTTAGAAATAACTTATCGAACAACGGCACGAGAATGCGAATGATAAATTGTCCTCATCTAGTGTCTGCCTACCTCTTCCCCACACATTGTTATAATCAACGATGTGTGTAAATGCACAGTCGAGCAGCGAGGAATTTCTTTCGATCTCGCGTTCATTACGTCGGTCTAATTCCCCACCCCCACCTTCGTTTGCCCAAAAGATAACGCTATTCCGTCACGTTGTTTGGGTAAGTGCGCAAAGTTTGTTCCGGAGGACCGAGGACTCGATCGATCGCGGGAAGAAGAGTAAAAACTATCAATGGAATTTTGGTGGACGCGGACACTCCCCACGAAATCGGCTTTGCACGATTTCGATCGACTCAATTCTTTCGCCGCATACATTAACTCGTGTTTATCGTATATGCCCATCCGACATGTACCCATATACCTGCGACCCCTAAGAAATCCTTAACTTTTCACGCTTCTTTTTCTCTTCGTTGCTAAAACTACGTGCACTTTTTTTTTGTGCTGTCGGCTAGAGGAGCCTTAGAAATTTAAAAGCGCCAATCGCCGGGGACTCTCGATTCTACGATCCCAAGGCTGCACTACCTTACCGATCGCTCGGCTCGATCAAATTATAATAATACTGGGGCACTTTGTCAAGCCTTTTGTTTTCTTAATTGAAAAGCTCTCTCCTCCTGGTGCCCGTGACAGTCGCTGTTGGGACGGGAGACGGCAAACTCCTTTATCGGAAAAGCAGGATTACTGCTGAATCCACCGTCGATAAAGCAATTTTGTGCCCCCGTTGTTGTTGGTGGTGGCGGCGACGGAGGCGAGGGCGGCAGCGACGGAGGCAGCGGCGGCAGCGACGTCCGATCCAATAAGTCAACAACGTAGGCCCTTGGCCGCTCCATCCCAACGCAACGGTACTTTGCGAAGTTTAATTTTTACTTCGCTTCTCTCTCTCTCTCTCTCTCTCTCTCTCTCTCTCTCTATCTCTATCTCTCTCTGTACGTGTCTGTCTGTCTGTCTGTCTTGACTTGACAAGTACCGCGAGAGTAGTCGGGCTCGCGCGGCAAAACTCTGCCGCCCTCGATTTGGGCCCGTATTTATCACGGCATCGGCTGCCTCGTCGGGGCATCGGCCGACCATCGGCCCCCGCGGCCTCCCGCCGCTCCGCGATATTAATGGTCCTAGTGTCTGTCCCGCCGCGATGAGATTGGCATCTACGGGATCTCACCGCGAGAGTCCTTCCCCCGGCCTCCTTGACCGTCAGCCCGCGGCGCTCCCGAGCGGCCACACCCCCGAGTAGCCCCCGAAGCCACCGGGTCCCGGTTGCTTTCGCGGCCTCTCTCCCCCGGCGCTTTTCTAATCTATCGGCCCACTCGGGTTAATTAATAATTGTGGCGGCTTTTCATCGACAATTAACGAGCTGCCGCTGCTCTTTTCTCTACCCGTGGAGTTTTGTCGTTAAGGCCTACGAGAGAGATGAAGAAATGTTTTTTTTTTTTTTTTTTTTTTTTCGATAACCCACTTGGAAGCTCCTCGGAGTCTCGACCTTCCCGTTTGCCACTATAGAGTGCGAGCATATAAATATGTATTGGGCGTTAGATTATTATTATTGTTGTTATTGTTTTTTAAAACTATTTTCTTCGGGGGCTGGGCGATTGAAAGAAATTCGATGCACAACGCCAACGGATCGTGGATAATTTTTTATATCAACCTCGAGTGTGCACAACTACTCGCCCCGTTAATTTCTAATGACTTAATTTTTCAGTTTAATACTCACACAAGCACTGAATCACAGACAATAGAGGCACAGCCGCTCCAATAGTGTACAAGTTAAAAAAAACTATACTCGCTGTTTACTTAATAATACTTAGTAACATTAGCTTGGCATACTCTTTGTAATTGGCAAATAATGTCAGCGCACTTGATTCGGAGTTGGTTGATATTTTGAATTTTTACGTAGGAAAACAAATCGTCGACTTTGCCAGGAGTTGGGCGCAAGCCGTTGAGGTCAGCGCTCGTAATTAATTTCCCGACATAAATGAAAAGAGGCGTCCGCTCGTGCCTTCGCGTCCACCTGACAAATCCTCTCTCTCTCGCGCGCGCGCGTTTATTTACGAGGTGCACATGTTCACCGGGAGTACTTGGCGCGCTTTTAGCGGATTTCGATCGATCGGGCGCAAAGACACTTGCCATCCATCAGCGCACACCGAGCAGCGTTTAATATACATTGCCCGGGAGCGCGCGCGCGCAAAAGAGAGAAAGAGACAGAGAGATAGAGAGTAATAAATATAGAGAGAAAGGCGCTCATCAACGCATCTGTCGCGGCACCAAGCGATGCTTTCCTTGACTTTTCAAGACACTGATGAGCCCTCGACACTCCTTGATGATCCACTTCGCCGTGAAATTATTAAGCGATGAAGGAAGCAACGCAATTACATTCATACGCGCAAGTGGAAAATACGAGACGCTGCACCGAATGATTGGACTTGTACATTATGAAAACTAATTTAACCAATAAATCAAACAAATGTGCCGGGATTGAATTTTCGAGGCATATTTAATAATAAAACTTTAGAATCGAAAATTTTTTTATCATAATATTACCATTTGTTCATAATTTAAGGTAAAAAAATTCCATCTGACATCTATGATTATAATGAATATTAAGATAGGTTTTAGTTTAGGAAAGTTTGTAAAAAATCAAGCGATTTAAAGAGCGACTGATTGTGGGGAAACAAGTTTTAAAAATTGTACGAGCGGCAAAAAATATTGTAAATAAAAAATCTTTACGTCTATTTGCTCAATTTCTGTGTAATATTAAATTTGCTTGAACAGTTAAGTCAATTTTATTTGATATCGCAAGTAACGTGTTGCGAAACGTCGAGTCCAAATATAAATTATTACATTATTTCGGTAAAAATTCCGTAAGTATATTTATAATTTTCTTAAGTATCATCCAATTAATGTTATTATTATTATTATTATTATTATTATTATTATTAATTATTGGGAGGAAAATTCTTGCCCGTTATAAATGTGTGCGTGTGCGTGTGCGTGGCGTGTGTATATATATATATATATATATATATATATAAAGAATATAAATTGATGTCGAAATGATTATTGAACAACTACTGACTTTAGCTTTAATATTTAATATCAAATATTTAGATTTAATTTCAATATTTACATTCGGTGCGGCATAGAAACAGTGAATAACAACGAAATCAAAGTACTTGATTTTCGTACATACGTAATCAAAATCTAAGGAACTGTGATTCATTTTAAAGCATTACGAAAGATTTCAGTCCTTATAATGTTAAGCTCGATTAACAGGCCTTCAATAAATGAAAAATTTCTTAATTACACTCCCGCACACGCACATGCACAGAGAGAGAGAGAGAGAGAGAGAGAGAGAGAGAGAGAGTTGGACACTTACAAAGCTCGATATTCACGTTCGAGAGTGAGTTTTAATATTTTTAGCCGTATCATTTTAACCTAAAAATACATCTGTCCGAAGGTCGTGAAGTAAAAAAACGATGAAATTTAAAAGCCTTTACTTCACTGAAATTAACCTTAACGCGGTGTGAAATTTCACGGGGATAACAAGGTAACTTCAGCTTCACAGCTTTCCAAGTAAAAAC